CACACACACAGTGTCTTTGGGGAGAGCTTGTGAGGCTGTTCTCCTGGACCCTTCTGTCCCTGGACCTGGGACACGGCGAGCAGCAGCCATTTTCTTTTGCCGCTCCCATTTCGTGCCCGTGCCCTCAGCGAGAGTCCCGACCCCCCCGGCTCCGGGGCTGTCCGGGGATTGGAGGATGAGGCGGAGAGGGAGGGGGCTGGAGGTTAATCACAGACAACAGAGGGTCACAGCACCCATTATTTTGGAGCCAGGACCTGCAATGGTCCAATGAGGATGACATTTACAGCCAGGGCCTGGCTCCGCCCCCCCCCGGCACCCAGAGCCAGCACACGCCATCACTCACACTTCCACCCGGCAGCTGACAGCAGCCTGATAATGAAAAGGCCCTCAGCGCCGGGCCGGGCAGGATGATGAATTGGATCCCCGGCTGCTCTCCAGCTGTGTCGGGGGGCTTTCAAGTGGCCCTTAACTGCTAATTGAAAGCCCCCGTGCCCTCGTCCTGCCTCCCAGCCTCCTTTATCCCTCTAATTATTGGGGTTAAGTGACCGTCCCACAGGACTGTGACCGCAGTGTTCATCTGTCCAGTGAAACCCACAGCCCCAGCAGGGGGACCGGCTGGGTTCAGGGCTCCTCTGGGACCCATCTCACACACTAAAAGTCCTGGGAGCTGGTGATGTGACAGCACAGGGCAGCTCGTCCTGAGCCCTGCTGCTCCAGGCCTGATGAACCTCAGCTGGAGGTAGGAGGGGAGCTTTTTGAGTATAAGACCTTCCTCATTTGGGACGTGCTTCAGAGAAGAAGAGCCAAAAAGAAGCTGTGTTTTGTAGAGCCTCCGTCCTTCCACGGCCGCCCCTCTGAGAGCTTTTTAGGCTGGAGGTGTGTTCTTTTCTTTGACAGCATCCTGCACTGGTAGGCTGTGGAGCCCCACAGAGCCTGGACCTCCTCATCCTCCACTTCCCAAACAGCTGGCAGGCAGGGAGCTCCTCTGGACTCAGTCCAGGGTGGGAGTGAGGAATGAGTCAGCTCAGCTCCCATTTGAATGAGAACCTGTAAGAAAATGGGTGGCAAATAACTTTGAATCCTATGAAATCTAAACTTCTGCTTTCAGCAGATCATCTGATCAGTACATGATCACCCAGACCAGAGGCAGAGGCCGGGGGGGGGGGGGGATCCAGACTTTGTCTGGGGCTGATCTCTACTGAGTAATGATGAAACACCTGAGTTTGATCAGTCTTATTATCAGGGAGGAACATTTCTAAATGTTTGTGGCCCCTCGTTTTATTTCTTAGGGCATGATACAGCGGATTAAGATAAACTCACCGTCTGTATTAAGACCATCTGTAGTTTGTATGGGAGTAAAAATAAGATGAAGGGTCTGTATCTGTGTGAGGAGTGACTGCTTCTTTTCATTTGTTTTTGTCCTTTAAGAGTCGTAAAAACAAATAACTCTTTAGGCTTACAGCTCATAATAATAATAATAATAATAATACTATTAGGAAGAAAAATAAATTATAACACATTGAAGGAAGAGAAGGGAGGAAGCTAATATAGTTTTTATAGTAGTTTTTTTTACATATTTGTATTCAAGTCAGCATAACAGTGACTTTTATTAATAATCTTCACTTAGCAAATTTGTTGGCCTTAAAATAGTCTGAAACAAACGTTACTTCATTACTTCAAACAGACGCAGCTCACCAGTCAAAGTCCAACCTTAACGCTTATGAAAGCTGGAAAGTTTTACCAGGAGCTTCGCTGCATTCCTATTGGCTGTTAGGGGTTTACTGCCGTCACGTGGTAGCGTTCCATAACGTGGTTACGTCATGCGTGCGAACGCTGATTGGTTTCCTGCTCAGCCGGAAGTGGGCTCACAAGGCTCAGAAGCTAACTGAGCCGCTAGCTACGGGGGCCGTTTTCTCCCGTAGTTCCCCCCTCAGTGAGCCACCTGAAGCGGGTTGAGATGTAGCGGAGTGGGACAAAGGTCCGGGTCCTCTCCAGGTGAGTCCGGCTCTAACGGGGGGTTCTCCACAGCCAGCTGCTCCCTTTAAGCTGCCCTGAGCTAGCTTAGCATGGAGGCTAACGGAGAAGCTGCCCTGCTGTTGTTGTTCAGGGTCCCACTCAGGAACATATGCGGATTTGTTCGGCTGGGCATTCAAATTAACTGGAGGCAGGTGCCTTAAATAAAGCCAGTTAATTTGTTAAATTGAACCCTGGTAGATGACACAAATGGCAGGAAGAGTGCTAGCTATTTATCAGTGAATAAAGTCAGACATATGACAGGTTTCACTACAGAAAGTGGCTCTAACGTGGAAAAAACGTAGTTGAATGTTTTGATCTTAAAGAGAGTAACGTGAAAAAAGTGGTGTTTTTACTGTAGCTGAGGAGTAAGCAGCCCACAGACAGTATTCCAGGTCTGACCGTCAGTGCTCCCTCAGCCAGTCAATAACAAGAATAACAAGACCCTCACTGGGTTCACATGTTTCCATCCAGTGGAGCCACCAGCCAGCCTCCCAGTGTGTCCCACTGTCAGTAGCTCCTGTTCCAGAGGAGACCCCCCCAGACCCGGGGGGAGCAGGTTAGTGATGCTCAGCCTGGGGGACAGTGGACCCCCTGAGACCAGCTGGACTCAGGAGGAGGTCGGGTCAGCTTCTGTGTGAGGTGGTACCTCAGCTGGAGGAGATGCTGGAACTGGTCCTGGTCTGGCTTTGATCCTTTTCCTGGTCCTGGTCCATGTTCTGGTCAGATTAGCAGCGGGGGGGATAGCTCCTCCCCCAGGCTGACCCCCCCCCCTCTCCTCCTCCCCCAGGCTGACGAATGTCCCGAACGCTGACGGCCATGAGCGGCCCCGTGTCTGAGGAGTCCCAGCGGGGGTCTCCGGGAGCCCTCGTCTCAGTCATCAGCAACAGGTGAGCTCCACCTGGGGGGGCGGTGTGGTCCCGGTGGGGGGGCTCCTCCTGGCCCTGACCCCGGCCCTACTCTGCTGCAGGACCTCCAACCTGCTGGCCCGGGGGGCCCTGCTCTTCTCGGTGGGGGTGTTCCTGGCCCTGGTGCTCAACCTGCTGCAGGTCCAGAGGAACGTCACCCTCTTCCCCCCCGACGTCCTGGGCAGCGTCTTCTCCTCCGCCTGGTGGGTGCCGCCCTGCTGTGGCACTGCCTCAGGTGGGTGGGCGGGGCCCTGGGGGGGTGGGGAGGGGGGCCCTGGGCCTGACCCTGGACCTGGGCCTGACCCTGACCCGCTCTCTGCCTGTAGCCCTGATCGGCCTGCTGTACCCCTGCATGGACCGGCGTCTGGGGGAGCCCCACCGGTTCAAGAGGGAGTGGTCCAGCGTGATGCGCTGCGTGGCCGTGTTCGTGGGAATCAACCACGCCAGCGCCGTATCCTGCTGCCGCCATCGGGGGGGGGGCTCCAGATGTTATGTTGCTGATGCTTTTATCCAAAGTAGACCTGGAGGAGCTTCTGAAGACAGACAGGCTGCTCTGTAGGCTGGGAGCACCTTCCTCCATCTCAAAGCTGTATTTGGGGCTTTAAAGCCGTTTTTTGTGGTTTTTAGAACAGTCTTTGGGGCTTTAAAGTTGTGTTAGGGGGCTTTAAAGCTGTTTTTGGGGCTTAGATTTTATTTAACTTCCAACTAAAAGTGACGAGGAGAGAAGGGATTTTCATTTAGTTGAACTTTAGTGAATAACAGTAGAAAAAAGGAAAGGTAAACATACCAGTCTCACCTAATAGTTTAATAAAGTTTTTTTGCTCCTAGAGCATCATGGGTAATGAAGTCCAAAAGAAATGGAGTCTCAAATGTATCCACGTTTAACACATGAACTGTATTATCAATATTAATGCTAACCTATATTTCTAACTCGTTTATTATCATTAGCTTGTTATGAAACGATAAGTCCTCCCCAGAATGGGGGGGGGTTCAGAGCTGCCTGTGTGCCTCCTTGACTCCTGCTCTCAGAAGGTGGACTTTGCTAACAACGTGCAGCTGTCGCTCACCCTGGCGGCGCTGTCCATCGGCCTGTGGTGGACGTTTGACCGCTCCCGCAGTGGCTTCGGCCTGGGGGTCAGCATCGCCCTGCTGGCCACGCTCACCACCCAGCTCCTGGTTTACAACGGAGTCTTCCAGTAAGCTCACCATGTTTCAGTTTTATCCAAAAAGAGGCTTTAACATGCAGCTCCAGCGCCACATTTACCTTCACTGAGTGCTACATGCTAGCTGGGACTTTAGCATGAAGGCGTTAACATCCAGCTAGAACACACATTCCACAGCTAGCATCCATCAATGCTACATGCTAACAGGAAATAAGAGACTTCAGAGCTTTAGGACCTTTAGGAGACACCAGGCATTGTTCATAACTAAATGAGCTGAAGTGTGAAGTCTGAGGATGCTTTACCTGCACAGGTACACTTCTCCTGACTTCCTCTACATCCGCTCCTGGCTGCCCTGCATCTTCTTTGCCGGGGTCATCACCATGGGGAACATCGGCCGGCAGCTGGCCTTGGTAAGGGCTCCGGCTCATGGGGAGGCCTCCAGAGGGCCGGGGGGGGGGGGGCAGCCACCTGTAACTTCTGCTCTCGTTTCAGTACGAGTACAAATTCCTCCAGGAGAAGAGCCACCAGGACTGACGGGCGCGGCAGCTCCAGCAGGCCACGCCCACCGCGCCCCACGCCAAACCAGCCCTGGCTTCTGATTGGCTGCCTTCTGCTGAGGAGGACAGTGTACCGCCAGCCTTCACAGCCCCTGCTACCCACCCCGAGCCGGGGGGCCAGGGGGCCCAGCCCGGTTTGGCTCCATTAGCTAGAAAAGGGATGAGCTCCACGGTGCCAAACGCCGGGATCAGGTCTCATCTTCTGATCCGGCCTCCTTCTGCTCGCTTCAGCAGATGAGCCGCAGCCTTTCAGCTCCTCTCTAGTCAGTGTGTGTGGACCAGACTCTCTATTGAACCTACCTAATGTGCTGTGTTTGGAGCTGCTCTGGACTCAGACCACAGTATGAGATGAACTCAGGAGGAACCGTTCAGTTTGCTCCCTCACAAAGACCCCCCAAACCAGAGACCCAACCCAGGGCCACAGGCCAGCCCAGCTCCCCTGTGGTGAGCAGAGCCTCAGACATTGGGAGTGTTGGGGGGTGGGGGGGTCCACTAGTATTTCCAGACCTCTGGCTGAGCCCGACCGGCCGGAGCTGTGGGTGGCAGAGTGCTGGTTCAGGGCTGGAAACAGTGTTTTCTCTTAGGTGTGAGCAGAAGCTCAGAGGAGCTGTGTCCTGGTTCTCTGGAACGACAGCTGTGTTCAGAAAGCTCTGTCAAATGTTAATGAGTGGAATAAAGACATGGCCTTTCAGCGACTGCCTCTGTGTTCTGTCCAGAAAACGGATGTTTTGTTTTATCTAAAGCAGACCTATCAAAGCAGACTCAGATTACAGGTCTGAATCCTTCCACCAGCTTTCTGAGCCTCCAAAGAAGAGTAACCACCCCGGTGGAGAACAGGAAGTGGACTTGGTGTTCGGGGCATAGCCAAAAATGGATATCCAACTCCGCCCACATCCATGTCTGCCATTTTGATTAGGTCACCAATAGGAGGATCCCATATCTGCTCACCGACGGCAAGAAAACCGGCTCAACCTGACTTTGTTTGCAGTCTGTAAAATTAATTGACCGTAGAAATTTTTCAATACAGCATATTTTTGGTGATGTTTTTTTTATTTTTTAACCTCGATGTGACAGTACCCATTAAAATAATTTCCCAAATAGAAGAATTTTGCAATAAACATGCATTATCATAACTGCCTCATGGCGTTATAGAAAGTAAGGGTCAGACAGTAAAGTTTGGTTTCCACCTCAGAAAGCTGCTAGTCACATGACCTAATCAAAATGGCCGACTTGGATGTGGGAGGAGTTGGATATCCATCGAGGCTGCAGCCAGAGTAGATGATAATAAAGTACTGTTCTATATCCTCTCTAGAGTAGACAATGGAACCACGGTGAAGCAGCTTTGTGAATCCTGACTGCTGTGGTTCAGTGGAGGGTTTTCTTTGTCATTTCCTGGTGTGTGAGGCCTTCTAATTGAGGGAGGCTGGACTGGCTCCTGTACATGACTGTATTTGTCCCCAACGCTGCATAGAAGTGCACACACAGCGTGGAGGGGTGGTTGCTAATGCAGATTAATGTGAGCTGTCTTGTTCCAGCTCTCACAGACACAGGCTCCCACAAAAGTAATTAAGATGAAGGATCAGGATTTAAATAGCCCTTGTTTGGGCTGCTTCTGAATTCCAGGATAAGAACACAGCTTCTGCCTGGTTTACATGAGTATAAGAGGCAATTTGCTGTGTGAATGTTATTGTTCAAGGCTAACTATCTAGTAAAACAATAGGCGTTATGTGTCATAGCGGTAAGTGCCGCTCTGAAGAGCTAAACTTCCCACCACTAATGAATTCATTAATCTCTCTATTTATGCCTGACAAGCAATTATCTCCTCTAGCAGAATGAGGGTGAGAAGGCAATATGGAGCGCTCTCCCACATTTTCTGGGGATAACACAGGAAACAGGAGAGAGCTGGAGCTGTGTTCACTCCCTTTGCTCTGCTTGGTTTGTTTCAGGCAACTTTTACTGTCTGGACGAGTGAAAGAGGGGATGGTGTGGCGCTTCCATTTAGACCACAAAGGATGGAGAGGCCCCCCAGCCCACCCCCCACGCAGCCCCCCCCCACGCAGCTCCACGTCTGGGGCCTAAGATGCTCACCACTGTTCCAGATGGGCTCTCCTGCTCCGGAGGACCCTCCAGCTCTGAGGCTGCTGGTTTCATGGGTTTTTCTTCTTCTTCTAATTTTCTGACCTATGGGGACCCAGCTTGTAGCTCCTGCTTCCAGCCTGTTCTCTCTTTTTTACGGGTTTATATGAAGATGAGCTGAGCGTTGTCTGTTCATCCCTCATAAACCTAAAAGCTGCTGACATGTCTTTTTTTTTTACAGAACATCTTACCAACACATGAGGGATAAAAGAGCTCCACCCCCCAGTGCTGCCTGGTGGGGTCAGTGGATATGTTATTTTATCGTCTTTAGTCCTGGGTAATTATTCATTTCTTTAATCGCCATTGATTTAATAAAACATGTGAATTCTTATGCACATGTTTTATTAAATGATATGGCAGTGGACATGTCATTTTGATGTTCTGTTTTATGGAAAACCCAGTAACATTGTACGTAAATATTGGAACAAATCAGGTGGTTTTAACTGCTCTGTTTGTGTTTCTGACCATGTGAACACTGATAAGGCCAAACCTGCCTGCTGATGTGTCCAGCTCTCATTATTAGATTTCTTTTAATCATTTGGGGTGATTTGATACCACCATGACCACGCCTCCTTTCCCTGAGGCGCTCTGCCTCCACCATATGGCCGTGTGGGCGTCCACTCTGTGTCCGGCACAGGTCAGTTCACAGTGAACTGTGTTTGTAAATGGATTTGGAACCAGAGCCCGTCCTCTGCCTTACAGCCTCCTGACAGAAGAGGCGGAGAGTGTCAGTGGGAAGGAAAGTCCAGGCTCAAACCCCATTAGAGGCCCACAGCAGTGAGTGAGGACCGGCCAGGGGACGGGCCTGCTCTGACTCCGCTGCTTCATCTCTGTGGGATGACCATCTAGGCTGGAATAAAACCTTGTTAAATGGTTTCACAACATGAATCACTACCCCGGGAGACATCCATCTCTGCTAACAGGTGACCAAATGATGTGTGAACCAGTAGATATTGATCACTGGTGTGGTGAGGTGTCAGCTCTAATGCTGTCCCCTCTGACAGCCCGGCTCTAACTCTCTGCTGATAGATTTTAATGGTGAAATATTGATTTCTTTCCAGCCAAGGTCTGCCGGCAAGGGCCAGATCATTTGTTGGGGTAATGCAGGACACTCTGAGTCCTGCTCCCAATCAGTCATTCTGACATGGAGCTGCAGAGAGAAATGGAAAAAGGGGCTAGCATAAAGCCTCAGTCCTGGTCCTGGTGCTGGTCCTGGTGCTGGTCCTGGTGCTGGTCCTGGT